GTCAGATACATGCAGCGCAGGCTGTAATTCTGGTTGGATACATTTAAGTAAGTCCTAGTGCGAGTATGCCCGGAACTGAGATAAGAAGTAACTGCCAAGGGAATATATTTCCAGTCAGAGACACATGTGACTCGTGTGAGGAAGAACGCTGCTGCTAATGGGGCCTACTCACACCAGGACTTTTTTTAGACTGAACCGATCTGCTGTGTTTTTTTTTTTTTTTTTGGTTTCTTGTTTCTTTTGTCTGGTATTGTGGGTTGAGTCTTAACCAAATGTCGAACCATTGATTGCAAAGGCTAACCGCCGTTTTTCTTTTTTTCTTTTTTTGAAAGAAAGAAGAATCAGAAGATCAACAGAGGTAGTGTATTAATAGCGATTCCAAAACTCTCTACTTCGGATTGTCGGCCGTGGATTACAAAGAGATCGACGGGCAGACGCCGATTAACAAGCTCCCTGTGGCCGAACCTCAAATTTTCAGCCTCTGAGGACGGGCTCTAATTTTTTGAGCCTCTGAGGACGGGCTCTAATTTTGTGAAAGAAAGGAAAACAAACTCAGAGGAAGAAGAAAAAAAATGGTTCGCCCTAAGAGAGGGGAAAACGAAAAAACCAACCAAAATAGCAAAACGTGATACGGTGAAAGTGGTGCCTGCATTTTTCTGGCTTGGAAATCAGGGAAGCGGCCGGGGTGAGGTTGGATGGGGTGGGGTTGGGGGTGTGCCTGGGGAGCGGTTCTGCACAGTGCCAAAATTCCTTTGGAGAAAGGAAAACATGTGGCGCTGCATGCAGTTTCAGCTCCCTGAGCATAAAGACACACGCTGTCAGTTGATACATCATGGAACCTGCATGCAGCGCCAGGGCAATCAAGGTAAAATGGTACTAAAACGGTACCAAAACCTGGGCGATGGAGGTAAAACTGCAGTTTAGCAAAATAACTTTAGCACTGGGCTACCAACCGTGGCCCCAGGGCAATCGAGGCAAAATGGTACTAAAACCTGGGCGGCACTGTTGGTAGCCCAGTGCTAAAGTTATTTTGGTAAACAGATAATTTCGGCACAAAAAATGCGCTCAATATATATATTTTTAATAAGCTGTCAGTTTTTTTTTTTTTTGTTTTGTTTTTGAAATTTGAATGTCCAAACTTCTCGAGAAATTTCAGCACAAAAGTTTTGAAATTTGAATGTCCGAACTGACAGTTTGAAATTTGAATGTCGGAACTTGTCGAGAAATTTCAGCACATAAATTTTGAAATTTGAATGTCCGAAGTTTCTCACAACTGACAGTTTGAAATTTGAATGTCCGAACTTCTCGAGAAATCTCATCCCGTAACTTATGCCACTTAAAAGAGAAAACAAAACAGATGGGGAAAAAAAAAGGCGAAATGGAAAAAGGATGCACGATGTATGGAACTGTTAACTATGATTGACAAGTTGTAAGCACTTTTTTTTTCCTCTGAAATTCTAAATAGTAAATAGTAAATACTGGATAGTCAAGTTACGGCGACTTTGTAACGCTTTTTTTTATTTTACCTCTTTTTCTTTTGTGAAATTACAGCTGCTTCTAACTGCGGTGAAAACTGACCTTCTCATAACTTTCAGACTCGTGCACCAATGTGCTGATTGAGGACAAGTTCGCCCTTTCTTTTTTACCTTTTTTCTTTTGCGAAATTACAGCTGCTTCTGTGCTTCTTCTAACCGCGGTAAGAACCGACCTTCTCGTGACTTTCAGACTCGTGCACCAATGTGCTGATTGAGGATTGCAACATCAGCTGTGGCGATGACGCTATCGGCATCAAGAGTGGATGGGACGAGTACGGAACCGGGTACAACATGCCTTCGCAGAACATTATTATCCGGTCTATAAATATAGGTACGGATTTTTGTTTTTTGTGCATTTTTTGCAGCACTCCCTGTTGCCGCCACCTGGCAAGTGATTTGCATTCCATCTAAGGGAGAGATCCCACAGGCAAAGAGGATTGGAAGAAGTGTCAGAATGTGGACGTGTTTGTGGGCAGGTGCGAAAACTTGTGATTGATGTACTTTTCTGCCCCTTGCGAGGAACACGCCCAGATTCAGACACTTCTTCCAATCCTCTTTGCCTGTGGGATCTGGCCCTAAGGACCTGCCAAAACACGGACTGAGAACGTTGTTGCTGATTTCTGAGTTTTGCCACCGGAATGAATGCCTTGCTGAGATTCCCGCTTTTTGCCGAGTTTTTTCTAAGTCTGTGTGTGTGCATGTTTGCTGGTCTGCGTGCCTGTCTGAGTGCTTGTCCGCCTGAGTGTGTGTGCGGCTGCCAGGGCACTCATTTGTTTGAGAAGGCGCGTACGGGCAGTACTTACTTACCTATGGCTGTGACTTTGGGGTTGCAGCGGGGAAAAACACTCAAGTGGCCGAAGGGGTAGCTTTGGGCGCACTCAAGTAGCGGTAGTGTAGGCCCGTAGATACTCGAGTAGCGGTAGGCTGAGGACAGGAAGAGAAAAACTTAGCATTTTTAGAGGCCCAGTAGCGGTAGGCTAGGTCTAGGCGGGTACCGGTCCAAGTAGTCTGAGTCTAGGGCCTGTGCGGACCATATCAGAGCGTGCAATGATGTTTCTCTCCGAAAGGGAGGAGGTACCGGTTGCTTGGAGGCCGTGCCGCTTGGAAGTCACCGCCCAAGAGGCAGGTTGGCCGCTATATCTCCAGGAGGAGCAAAGTGCTCCTCCTCATTTGCTGCATGCAAGTTTGGGCGTCAGGCTGCTGCAGCGCCTGGAGGAGCGATGGTGTGCAGCGCTGTGGGGGAGAGGAACGCCCAGCTCTCCACCTTGGCTATGGTGGTGGAGCTCGGGTAGGAGGAGGAGGAGGGGGGACTAAGAGAAGGGAGCGCCAGGGGTACTTACCTGGCTATGGTGGATGCCATCTTCATCGCCTTGGTAGGCGCTGCATCTGGAAGGCCCCAGATGGTGGATGCCGTCTTCTTTCTTTCTTCTTCTTCTTCTTTTTCTTTCCCTCTCTCTCCTCTCAAGTTCATTCATTTCTTTTGCAATTGGAGGACATTGTACTTTCTTGTGAATTTGCACTTCGAAATTGGCCAGGATTGTATCATCCATAATAATTTACTAGCTCAATGTCAACTCCATTTTTATTAAATTTAATACGTAGGTGACGACCTGCCGACCGGTCGGCTGGTCGGCATCCGACCAGTCAAGCAGGGCCGACCGTCATGGATCTAGTCTGAGCGTGAAAGAGAGAGAATGCTGGTATTTTCCACTTCGTGACTTCTTTTTTCTCCCTTTCCAAAGAAACCTTCATCATGGATCTAGCCTGAGCTGCTCCTGTCCATGGGGCGCATGATTCTTGTTCTTGTTCTTGTTCTTCTTTTCTTCTTCCTCTTCTTCTTTTCTTCTTCTTCTTCTTCTTCTTCTTCTTCTTCTTCTTCTTCTTCTTCTTCTTCTTCTTCTTCTTGGGAAGGATTTTGTATGTCTGATCCTCTTCGCTGTCTGTAAGGAGGGAGGGTTGGTTTCCCGAGTTCGTTGACATGATGCTTGTCGAGGTTACCCTTTTCTGAAACGTCATTGTGATCCTGAGGTCTGGTCTTTCCGATGACCCTGAAGGTCTGTTATTGTTGCTGTTGTTGATGGCGCAATCCGTTTGCACAGGGCGTAGTCATGGTATTTCCATCGGAAGCGAAATGTCAGGAGGTGTCCGGAACATTCGGATTCATGGAATTCGACTAAACGACACGAAACGTGCTTTCCGGATCAAGACGACACCTGGGCGCGGCGGGTTTATCACAAATGTCTCGGTTCGCAATGTTTACATCACGCGGGCAACTCAATATGCAGTGGAGTTCTTGACAAGGTATGCTACTGGCCACTTCTCTCATCCTGATCGAGAGTTCGATCCGAACGCCATTACCGAGGTGCGGGATATCAGTGTGCAGCGGTTGGTCGCTGACAGAGTAAAAAGGGTGGGGAGATTCATTGGTGATGCTCGGCGACCTATGACCAATATCCTCCTGGAGGATATAAGTGCACCACGCGGGCCACAATCAACGACACCTTACTCTTGTCAGAATGTCAACGGGACATGGAGAAACGTTGTCCCGCAACCGCCTTTGCCGTTCTTTACTCCAGCTTAATTAAATTTTCAATTTTTTTCCAACTTTTTTAGAGTCGTAGAACTCGAGAACTTGAAGAATTGACATAGACACACACACATGCACACATGCATACACGCACACGCATAAGCACATGCATATGCACATGCATACGCACACGCATACACACACACACACACACGAGACGTGCACACCCACGCACATGCACACGCATACACACACACACGCACACGTGAGCGCACACTCCCACACACTGTAGTCTGATGTCAACGGGCCACAGTATCTGATGAGACAGTCTGGCCACAGTGTCAGGACAACAAACACACACACACACACACACACACACACACACACACACACACACACACACACACACACACACACACACACACACACACACACACACAC